CACAACAGAATACCTTCCAAATTGACAAGGCTACATTCTAATAGAGTAACTCAAATCTTGACAACAGATTACCTTCCATAATGACAAGGCTACAATCCATTGTAGTGACTACCTTCCATAATGACAAGGCTACCATCCATAGAGTAAAAAAATCTTGACAATAGACTACCTTCCATAATGACAAGGCTACCATCCATTGGAGTGACAATAATCTCGACAAAAGAATACCTTCCATAATGACAAGGCTATAATCCATTGGAGTAACAAAAATATCGACAACATATTACCTTCCATAATGACAAGGCTACTATCCATTGGAGTAATAGAAACCTCCACAACAGACTACCTTCCATAATGACAAGGCTACAATCCAATTGAGTATTAAAAATCTCGACAACCGACTACCTTCCATAATGACAAAGCTAACATACATTGTAGTAACAAAAATCTGAACAACAGACTACCTTCCATAATGACAAGGCTACCATCCATTGGAGTAACAAAAATCACAATGACAGACTACCTTCCATATTGACAAGGCTACCATCCATTGGAGTAACAAAGATATCGACAACATACTACCTTCCATAATGACAAGGCTACCATCCATTGGAGTAACAAAAATCACGACAACAGACTACCTTCCATAATGACAAGGCTACCATCCATTGGTGTAATAGAAATCTCCACAACAGACTACCTTCCATAATGACAAGGCTACTATCCTATGGAGTAACAAATATCTCGACAACAAACTACCTTCCATAATGACAAGGCTAACATACATTATAGTAACAAAAATCTAAACAACAGACTACCTTCCATAATAAGAAGGCTACCATCCATTGGAGTAACAAAAATCACAACGACATACTACCTACCAAAATGACAAGGCTACCATCCATTAAAGTAACAAAAATGTCGACAAGAGATTACCTTCCATAATGACAAGGCTACCATCCATTGGAGTAACAAAAATCTCAAAAACAGACTACCTTCCATAATGACTAGGCTACCATCCATTGGAATAACAAAAATCTCAACAATAGACTACCTTCCATAATGACAAGGCTACCATCCGTTGGAGTAATAAAAATCTCGACAACAGACTACCTTCCTTAATGACAAGGATACAATCCATTGGAGTAACAAAAATATCAACAATAGACTACCTTTCATAATGACAAGGCTACCATCCATTGGACGAACAAAAATTTCAACGACAGACTATCTTCCATAATGACAAGGCTACCATCCATTGGAGTAACAAAAATCTCGACAACATACTACTTTCCATAATGACAAGGCTACCATCCATTTGAGTAACAAAATCTCGAAAACAAACTAACTTCCATAATGACTAGGCTACCATCCATTGGAATAAAATAAATCTCAACAACAGACTACCTTCCATATTGACAAGGCGACTATCCAATGGAGTAACAAAAATCTCGACAATAGACTACCTTCCATAATGACAAGGCTAAAATACATTGTAGTAAAAAAATATGAAAAAGAAGACTACCTTCCATAATGACAAGGCTACCATCCATTGGAGTAACAAAAATCACAAGGACAAAATACCTTGGATAATGACAAGGCTACCATCCAATGGAGTAACAAAAATCTCGAAAACAGACTACCTTCCATAATGACAAGGCTACCATCCATTAGAGTAAAAAAATCTTGACAATAGACTACCTTCCATAATGACAAGGCTACCATCCATTGGAGTAACAAAGATATCGACAACATACTACCTTCCATAATTACAAGGCTACCATAAATTGGAGTAACAAAAATCATGACAACAGACTACCTTCCATAATGACAAGGGTATCATCCATTGGAGTAACAAAAATCTTGACAACAGACTACCTTCCAAATTGACAATGCTACATTCTAATGGAGTAACTCAAATCTTGACAACAGATTACCTTCCATAATGACAAGGCTACAATCCATTGTAGTGACTACCTTCCATAATGACAAGGCTACCATCCATAGAGTAAAAAAATCTTGACAATAGACTACCTTCCATAATGATAAGGCTACCATCCATTGGAGTGACATCAATCTCGACAAAAGAATACCTTCCATAATGACAAGGCTATAATCCATTGGAGTAACAAAAATATCGACAACAGACTACCTTCCATAATGACAAGGATACCATCCATTGGAGTAATAGAAATCTCCACAACAAACTACCTTCCATAATGATAAGGCTACTATCCAATAGAGTATTAAAAATCTAGACAACCGACTACCTTCCATCATGACAAAGCTAACATACATTGTAGTAACAAAAATCTGAACAATAGACTACCTTCCATAATGACAAGGCTACCATCCATTGGAGTAACAAAAATCACAATGACAGACTACCTTCCATATTGACAAGGCTACCATCCATTGGACTAACAAATATATCGACAACATACTACCTTCTATAATGACAAGGCTACCATCCATTGGAGTAACAAAAATCACGACAACAGACTACCTTCCATAATGACAAGGCTACCATCCATTGGAGTAATAGAAATCTCCACAACAGACTACCTTCCATAATGACAAGGCTACTATCTGATGGAGTAACAAAAAACTCGACAACAGACTACCTTCCATAATGACAAGGCTAACATACATTATAGTAACAAAAATCTAAACAACAGACTACCTTCCATAATAAGAAGGCTACCCTCCATTGGAGTAACAAAAATCACAACGACAAATTACCTTCCATAATGACAAGGCTACCATCCATTGGAGTAACAAAAATCTCAAAAACAGACTATCTTCCATAATGACTAGGCTACCATCCATTGGAATAACAAAAATCTCAACAATAGACTACCTTCCATAATGACAAGCCTACCATCTGTTGGAGTAATGAAAATCTCGACAACAGACTACCTTCCATAATGAGAAGGATACAATCCATTGGAGTAACAAAAATATTAACAATAGACTACCTTTCATAATGACAAGGCTACCATCCATTGGAATAACAAAAATTTCAACGACAGACTAACTTCCATAATGACAAGGCTACCATCCATTGGAGTAACAAAAATCTCGGAAACAGACTACCTTCCATAATAACAAGGCTACCATCCATTAGAGTAAAAAAATCTTGACAATAGACTACCTTCCATAATGACAAGGCTACCATCCATTGGAGTAACAAAAATCTCCACAACAGACTACCTTCCATAATGACAAGGCTACCATCTATTGGAGTAACAAAAATCTCGACAATAGACTACCTTCCATAATGACAAGGCTACCATCCATTGGAGTAACAAAAATGTCGACAACATAATAATTTCCATAATGACAAGGCTACCATCCATTTGAGTAACAAAAATCTCAAAAACAAACTAACTTCCATTATGACTAGGCTACCATCCATTGGAATAAAATTAATCTCAACAACAGACTACCTTCCATATTGACAAGGCGACTATCCAATGGAGTAACAAAAATCTCGACAACAGACTACCTTCCATAATGACAAGGCTAACATACATTGTAGTAAAAAAATCGGAAAAACAGACTACCTTCCATAATGACAAGGCTACCATCCATTGGAGTAACAAAAATCACAACGACAAAATACCTTGGATAATGACAAGGCTACCATCCAATGGAGTAACAAAAATCTCGAAAACAGACTACCTTCCATAATGACAAGGCTACCATCCATTAGAGTAAAAAAATCTTGACAATAGACTACCTTCCATAATGACAAGGCTACCATCCATTGGAGCAACAAAGATATCGACAACATACTACCTTCCATAATTACAAGGCTACCATAAATTGGAGTAACAAAAATCATGACAACAGACTACCTTCCTGTTGTACCCCAATTTTTGACCTAAGATCCCATCTTCATTTGCATTTTTATTCAAAGAAAATTAAGGGCACGAAATATGGCCAGTTTTAACCTCTCAAACTTCTCCACAACTTCCTCAGAGCACATACAAGATTCCATCATCACTGGTTCACGTGTGCTTCAATGTGTCTTGGAATGCAAGAAAAGATCAGGCTATGTGAGATGATTTAAAGCACTTCGACCAAAATTCAACTTTTTGCAAGATCAAGTTCAAACGATCATAACTTCTTCATTATTCCATATTTTTGAGTGGTTCTTTTTGCATATGACTCTCCTTGATGTCATCTCCGACTCCTCTTTACAAGTCAAGAGTTGATTGTATGTGGAGGATCATCTAAAATTCGAATACTTTGGAGGTCTTTTTGCAAATTTAACCTAATCACAAGAAACTCTTGTCCAGATTTCGAGGTTTATAACTTCTTCAATTCTCAACGTCCCGAGGCAATTCTTTTTGTGAAGTGTCACAAATAGCATTGTCTATGAGATTACTTCAAGGTCGAGGTCAATTTGTGCTTGGTTCAATTTATGCCACAAACGTTTTCTCAAAGGGCGTTTGATTCTTATGTTAAGATAATTCATCAAATAAGTTGTTGAGTTTGAAGATTCATTGATCATCTATTGCTCGTAATTCAAGTCACTTGTGTTTGAGCGTTAATGATTAATGGAGCGAAGTTGGATTTTTGATTAAATTTCTTAAGGCATTTGTTTGTTCATTAAGATTCGATTCATTAAAGTTTTAACATTTACCTTTCTTTCAATTCATACAAATTCCTTTTGATTTAAGGTCATTATGCCAAGATTCAAAATTCATTATGCAAATGTTTTTCAAGAGAGGTTCGAATACAAGGGACAAAAGTTCCATCCAATTTATAATGCTTACAATTTGGAATTATGGAAATTTTGAATTCAAATATAACAAGTTACAAAGTCTAAACCATGTTTCACCAAAAGTTGTCGTTTCACTCAAACACTCAATGTCATAATAAAAGTTACAAATTCAATCATCAAATGATCAAATACATCAATTCAAAACTACCAAGTCCTATTTATAAATGACATCAAGGTCCCAAAACTCATCCAAACCTTGCTTCAATTTTCATCCAAATCTGTCCACCAAAACAACAAAATATATGAAAACAAAATCAGTCCAATTTCAAAAGAAAAAGAGAGGGAAGATACATGTATTGTTACATGGTAAAATCATAAAAATACAAAATAGAAAGGGACCTTTCCAATGATACTACACTCCAAATTCTGCTACTGCAATATGCCCAAAATCATCCATGCTGCAATGCTGCAAAAAACTGCATAATAATGCCAAAAAACTGCTGCTGTATGCTGCTCCAAACCCTGCATATCAGTCCAAGAAATAACAACAAAATAGCCATACAAATACCTGCACCAAAAAGCAATAAAACAGTGACAATAAAACCAACTTTTCCCTCCCAATTTCACTCCACTTTCCTATATAAGAGAGATTACTGATATGAAGGAGGGAGGGGACAGAAATATAAAATATGTTTAATCCATGGAGGAAAGAAGTAGAGAAAACAACAAAAAATACCACAAAAAATATTAATAGCTAGTTGTTCAAGCATATAGAAAAATTCCAATAAAACATAAACTCCCTCTGTCTGCTCACTCTCAAATTCCCTCTTCTTTCACTAGTTCAAACGAGACCACCGTTTACAATCACCAAGCAATTTATGATTCACTCTCTAACGAACTCGCACAGATCCAATGTGATAATAACAATATTTCATTTGGTTCTATTTTTTCAGGAAAGTGATCAACGAAACAAACCCGAAGAGGAAGATCTGAATCTGGTTGCCGAGAACAAACCCGCAACAGACAACATTTATGGCCGTCATTGTACGCGCCATCGCCGAAAAATCCCACGACGGCTACCTCTGATTAAACAAAAACCGTACCGCGCCGGTTATCCCTACCCTGCCAACCACTCTACTTCACTGAGCACCTACACCCCTCCAATCGCACGATGCCACTACTCCAATCACCATTGAGCTTCGGATCTGCGCAACAATCATACATCCGATGCGAGATGCCCGACGCCGCAGCCACCCATTTAAAGATTCCTCCGCCACGAGTGATTGCACAGCCATCGCGATCTCTCGCTGTTGCTCGTCCCGGCCACATATCAGTGCAAGTTCATTTTGATGTTATGACTTTTTGTTTTGACCATGAACTTGTGGTGTTTGTTTGTATTTGAAATTGAAAAAAAAAACGATGAAAAGAAGGAAGCAGAGTGTTGGAGAAAGAAAGAGTAACCGAGTTTGGATCTTAAACTCTCTCAACGTGTAAGTATTTTGGGTTTTTATTTTATTTTTTATTAATCAATTTAATTCCACGTGTCATTTTCTGCATGGCTGTAATTTCAAGATGAATTGGTCAAAACCTTCCCCATGAAACATTTGCCGCCCCATACTTATCTTTGTTGTAACTTTCATATTATTTCTTCTTTTTGTTTTTTACATTATGTTGGTAAGATTTAAAATTAAAAAAAAAACAACAAAAAAAACAACAATAAAAAGCAGTAGCAATACTCTTTTCCTCTCACCATATACTGCCTCCAATAATTATTAGTTACACATTTCAATTTATTTATTTTAAATAATAATTAGTTTAGTTAATTTACTTATTTTATAGATTTATTTAAATAATTATGTTTGATTTAACTAGATAATCTTAATTATTTAGATTAATTTTAGACTTAATTTAATAACTTTAGAAATTTCAATTTGTTTAGATCTATTTTATAACTTTAGAACTTCTAATTAGTGTAGATACATTTTGATAACTTTAGAATTTTAATTTAGTCTTAGAATTTTAATTATTAGTTTAGAATTAATTTAGTTTAGTATTAATTTAGATTTATTTTATAACTTTTTGTTTTAGCTTTAGTTTAGTAAACTTTAGGATTTTATGTGTTGTAGTATTATTTTAGTAACTTTAGGATTTTATTTCATTTGACTTAGTAAATTTTAGAGTTTTATTTGTTTTAGTTTTGACTTAGTAAACTTTAGAATTTTATTTTGTTTTAGTTTTATTTTAGTAACTTTAGAATTTTATTTCATTTAGATTTGAGTTAGTAAATTTTAGAGTTTTATTTAGTTTTGACTTAGTAAACTTTAGAATTTTATTTTGTTTTAGTTTTATTTTAGTAACTTTAGGATTTTATTTCATTTATATTTGACTTAGTAAATTTTAGAGTTTTATTTGTTTTAGTTTTTGACTTAGTAAACTTTAGAATTTTATTTTGTTTTAGTTTTATTTTAGTAACTTTAGGATTTTATTTCATTTAGATTTGACTTAGTAAATTTTAGAATTTTATTTGTTTTAGTTTTAATTTAGTAAACTTTAGAATTTTATTTGATTTTATTTAAGTTAACTTTGGAATTTTAGTTGTTAGTTTTAGTTTAGGGACTTTAGAACTTTATTTGAGTTAGAATTAGTTTAATAAGTTTAGAATTTTAGTTGTTTAGAATTAGTTTAATATTCTTTTAGAATTTTATTTGATTTAGATTTAGTTCAGTAACTTTGGAACTTTTTTTGTTTTAGATTAGCAACCTTGAAACTTTTATTTAGTTTAGATTTAATTTACTAATTTTAAAATGTTTAATTTAGCTTAGATTTAATTTAGTAATTTTAGAACTATTTTTGCAACCTTAGAATTTGTAGTTAGTTTAGAATTTTTTTAGTAAGTAATCTTAAATTTTTAATATAGTTTAAATAACTTCTTTAGATAATTAGTTACATTCTCTTTTATTTTATTTAAATATATTTGTCATTTTAATTTCTCGATGCCTTTAGGTCATTAATCTATTTCGTTATATTTATTTTCTTGTGAATTTTGATTGCTTATATTTTGATGTCTATTTTATTTTGCTCGCTCGATTTAATCCAAGGGAAAGAATTAATTTGTTGACTTCATGTCATCGAGTATATAATACTATTATGTGAAATCCCTTCATACCTTTTTTAGTTTTATTAATCTTAAGATGAATCTCCTACAAATCAATTTTTAAACTCACACCCCTTTTAAGTCAAAACTTCGACATTAGGTTATCACATCTTCAAAATCTCGCCAACACCTATCTTTTTAGCAAACGAACCATTTTAATCAAACAAACAATTTTTAACCAAAAACAGATATTTCAAAAGGTTCCTGCGGAGTACCGCAGATGCATTGAGTGCTAATACCTTCCCATCGCATAACCAACCCCCGAACTCTCGATCTCTTTTCAAAACGCATTGTATTTTCATTACTTTTAAGTATTATTATACATTGCATATTTTAGGGTTTTATTTCGCTCTTTTCCCTTTTCCCTTGGAAATAATAAAACGCGGTGGCGACTCTTGCTTTTGCGAGTCGAGTTAATTAATAGCTCGATCTCCGATTTTCACCGCTACACTTCCATAATGACAAGGGTACCATCCATTGGAGTAACAAAAATTTTGACAACAGACTACCTTCCAAATTGACAAGGCTACATTCCAATGGAGTAACACAAATCTTGACAACAAATTACCTTCCATAATGACAAGGCTACCATCCATTGTAGTGACTACCTTCCATAATGACAAGGCTACCATCTATAGAGTAAAAAAATCTTGACAATAGACTACCTTCCATAATGACAATGCTACCATCCATTGGAGTAACAAAAATCTCGACAAAAGAATACCTTCCATAATGACAAGGCAACAATTCATTGGAGTAACAAAAATATCGACAACAGACTACCTTCCATAATGACAAGGATACCATCTATTGGAGTAATAGAAATCTCCACAACAGACTACCTTCCATAATGACAAGGCTATTATCCAATAGAGTATTAAAAATCTAGACAACCGACTACCTTCCATAATGACAAAGCTAACATACATTGTAGTAACAAAAATCTGAACAACAGACTACCTTCCATAATGACAAGGCTACCATCCATTGGAGTAACAAAAATCACAGTGACAGACTACCTTCCATATTGACAAGGCTACCATCCATTTGAGTAACAAAGATATCGACAACATACTAACTTCCATAATGACAAGGCTACCATCCATTGGAGTAACAAAAATCACGACAACAGACTACCTTCCATAATGACAAGGCTACCATCCATTGGAGTAATAGAAATCTCCACAACAGACTACATTCCATAATGACAAGGCTACTATCTGATGGAGTAACAAAAATCTCGACAACAGACTACCTTCCATAATGACAAGGCTTACATACATTATAGTAACAAAAATCTAAACAACAGACTACCTTCCATAATAAGAAGGCTACCATCCATTGGAGTAACAAAAATCACAACGACAGACTACCTTCCATAATGACAAGGCTACCATCCATTAAAGTAACAAAAATATCGAAAACAAATTACCTTCCATAATGACAAGGCTAACATCCATTGGAGTAACAAAAATCTCAAAAAATAGACTATCTTCCATAATGACTAGGCTACCATCCATTGGAATAACAAAAATCTCAACAATAGACTACCTTCCATAATGACAAGCCTACCATCCGTTGGAGTAATAAAAATCTCGACAACAGACTACCTTCCATAATGAGAAGGATACAATCCATTGGAGTAACAAAAATATTAACAATAGACTACCTTTCATAATGACAAGGCTACCATCCATTGGAATAACAAAAATTTCAACGACAGACTAACTTCCATAATGACAAGGCTACCATCCATTGGAGTAACAAAAATCTCGGAAACAGACTACTTTCCATAATGACAAGGCTACCATCCATTTGAGTAACAAAAATCTCGAAAACAAACTAACTTCCATAATGACTAGGCTACCATCCATTGGAATAAAAAAAATCTCAACAACAGACTACCTTCCATATTGACAAGGCGACTATCCAATGGAGTAACAAAAATCTCGACAACAGACTACCTTCCATAATGCCAAGGCTAAAATACATTATAGTAAAAAAATCTGAAAAACAGACTACCTTCCATAATGAGAAGGCTACCATCCATTGGAGTAACAAAAATCACAACGACAGAATACCTTGGATAATTACAAGGCTACCATCCATTGGAGTAACAAAAATCTCGAAAAACGACTACCTTCCATAATGACAAGGCTACCATCCATTAGAGTAAAAAAATCTTGACAATTGACTACCTTCCATAATGACAAGGCTACAATCCATTGGAGTAACAAAGATATCGACAACATACTACCTTCCATAATTACAAGGATACCATAAATTGGAGTAACAAAAATCATAAAAACAGACTACCTTCCATAATGACAAGGGTACCATCCATTGGAGTAACAAAAATCTTGACAACATACTACCTTCCAAATTGACAAGGCTACTATCTAATGGAGTAACACAGATCTTGACAACAGATTACCTTCCATAATGACAAGGTTACCATCCATTGGAGAAACAAAAATATCGACAACAGACTACCTTCCATAATGACTAGGCTACCATCCATCGGAGTAACATAGTTATCAACAACAGACTACCTTCCATAATGACAAGGCTACAATCCATTGTAGTATCAAAATAATCTTGACAACAAACTTCCTTCCATCATGACAAGGCTACAATCCATTTGAGTAAAAAAAATCTCGTCAACAGACTACCTTTCATAATGACAAGGCTACCATCCATTTGAGTAATAGAAATCTCCAAAATAGACTACCTTCCATAATGACAAGTCTACAATCCATTTGAGTAACAAAAATCTCGACAACAGACTACCTTCCATAATGACAAGGCTAACATACATTATAGTAACAGAAATCTAAACAACAGACTACTTTCCATAGTGACAAGGCTACCATCCATTGGAGTAACAAAAATCTCGACGACAGAATACCTTCCATAATGAAAACGCCACCATCCATTAAAGTAACAAAAATCTTGACAACAGACTACCTTCCATAATGAAAAGGCTACCATCCATTAGAGTAACAAAAATCTCAAAAACAGACTACCTTCCATAAAGACTAGGCTACCATCCATTAGAATAACAAAAATCTCAACAATAGACTACCTTCCATAATGACAAGGCTACCATCCGTTGGAGTAATAAATATCTTGACAACAGACTACCTTCCATAATGACAAGGATACAATCCATTGG